AGGTCTATCTAGCGACGAGGTGAATGTTTATTTAGAAATCTAAACCATGTTACGATATTGTAATGAATCCCTCGCGAGCAGGAGACCAGAGGAGCGTTCGGGAAAAAGGCCCGTTTATTTGAGCACTCCAAAAACTCCGGTAACACTCCAGGGGGTAAAAGACTCCGTCCCAAACTCTGACTCTTCTAGCGTAACAGACACACTTCATACACACATACTCATTTACCATACCGAGTGGGGACACCTCCCCTCTCTGCTCCACCAATCTCCAGCCCACACACTGACTGACAGCGTAGCCGGTAAACAGAGCTCAGCTGTTTATTTAGCCTAGCAATATCTCCGGACTATAGTAGCTGCAATGGACGACTTTGACCGCGATTTTGAAGAGTTTCTTGTAGCGGACACAGACCCAGAGCCATACCTGTTTGAGCCGGAGCACACAGATGAGGAACTCCATGTGTTTGATGCTGAGCGGACGAGAAGAGAGGCTGAATGCACAGAATGGGATTCGGTGCTACTGCTGCCATTGTTGGGGAGATATCACCAGGAGGAAAAGTGCCGCAGAGAGTGCATCACAAGGAGTGAAGTTGCGTCTTCTTTTCCTCGCAGATGACGGCTCGGGTTCATTCTCTCCTGTTGCGTGGTAAGTGTGGTCCATTCGCAAACTTTATAACTAAAAAAACTTTTCACTACTCTCTATCGACGAACTACTAACACTCTCTGCTGTTTCCTCCTCCTTCTTCCTTCCTTCCGCTGTCTTCGTTGGTTCATTTATACACGCGAAACGCGTTCTCTGGCTGGCTGGATTGTCCACTAGGTCTGCCGTACATACATGGCGGCGCAAGATGGCGACCTCTCTAAAGCAAGGCCCTTGATATATATATATATATAAAAGCATAATTATAAGGCTACGAAAACCAAACAAATTTTATTTTATAGCGCTTATACACTTGTATAAACATATAAATGGGTAGAATATTCAGATTCAGATTCAGATTGACAATAAACCATGCCAAATATTACACACTGGCCCTTTAATATAGGCCTATATTTTATCTACAAGTGCACGTCACACACTGAGCGAGCCGCCTGCTAATGACGCTGTGGGCTAATGGGCATGTAGATACTTCCATGTTTCAGATGATACGTCATGTTTGTAGTCGACCAATGAAGATGAGTTTACATATCACCTTGGGTTCGTCCTTCACCTTCTCAAAATGATCCCACACTTTGGATTTCCTGCCCGACATGTTATTAACTAGCCTGTGGAATAACCGCAGGTACCAGTCCTGTATATTAGGGGCCATGCAAATGGTGGTCAAAGGTAAAAGGTTGAGGTCACCATGGCCTCAAAAAAACTGGCTATAATTTAGGAATTCTTATGCTAATTATGATGACGCTTCACACAAATGTCTCATAGGATAAAATGACGATGTAATGACATTTTGTATCCTAAAGGTCAAAGGTCAACTCATTATATTCTGCATAAAACACTTTTCTGGCCATTGTTCAACATTGTAACTCAGGAACAGAAGGGGAGACATTTGATCAGACACTGAATTGAGGACACTTATCTTGGGTGCCCACCTTAAAACTGTGCTGATTGTATAGATCTTCTGTGCTGACGGGGGGAAGATGTGTTTGAAGCATTAGTGTTTCACAGACATGGATGCAAACTGTAACTGCAAGTTGCAAGGCAGTAACTCTAGTTTTAGTCAGTGTGCAGGCACTTTTTATGTATGATATGAGACTGTTTATCACCTTAAACTACTCCTCGAAAAGCCTGGATTTAATGAGCGCACTGTAACACATCTGATCTTTTCGACATACCAGCAGCTATGAGGAAGATCTGTGTGACAAAAAGCTTATACAGTGTGTGCAGATGTTCATACTCTCCTTTTGAATCAAGCACCTTTTTGGGACAGTGTGGTAAGTCTGGGCATTTTAACTCAGATTTATAGTTATACCAATCAAACAACCACCAATAACACAGCATAGTTCCTATATTATCAATACACCCACTCCTGTAAGTGCAGAAGTGGGCTGTGACTGTCCCCTTGTGGGCAGAGGAGTGAACATCTTGATGGTGTGTTCAGGGCAGAAAGCTATGAGGTCATGGGTTCCCAGTGCTGTGCCACAATACGCTGCTCAGAAACAAAAATTAAGGGAACACTTAAATGACATATCAGATTTTGATGAACAAATTATTCACGTTGAAAATCCTTACATGATGTATCTTTACTGATGTACATTTTTTTTGAGAACAAAATGACGTAACAACGGTCAATGGAAACCAAAATCATCAACCCACTGAGGGCTGGATTCAAAATCACACCGAAAATCAAAGTCAAGAATTGAAATCACAGGCTGATCCAACTTGTGTTAATTTTATCACAGAAACTCATAATGTGACTCAGTAGTGTGTACGGCCCTTGCCTGCCTGTATGACCTCCTAACAACGTCTGGGCAAGCTCCTGATGAGTCAGGGGATGGTGTCCTGGGCAATCTCCTCCCAGACCTGGATCAGTGAGCTCCCTGACAGTCTGTGGCATTACTTGGTAGCATCAGATGCACCGATATATAACGTCCCAAAGGTGCTCAATTGGATAAGGTCAGGGGAACAAGAGTGATGGTCAATGGCATCAATGCCTTTGTCATCCAAGAACTGCCTACTCACTCTGGCCACATGAGGCCGGGCATTGTCCTGCACCAGGAGGAACCCAGGGCCCACTGCACCAGGAGGAGCCCAGGGCCCACTGCACCAGGGGGAACCCAGGGCCAACTGCACCAACATAAGGTCTGACAATCGCTCTGAGGATTTCATCCTGGTACCTAACAGCAGTCAGGCTACTCTTGGCTATGACATGGAGGTCTGTGTGACCCTCCAAGCATATGCCTTCCCAGACCGTCATTGACCCACCGCCTAACTGGTCATGCTGGATAATGTTACAGGCAGCATAACATTCACCACAGCGTCTCCAGACTCTTTCACGCCTGTCACATGTGCTCAGTGTGAACCTGCTCTCATCTGTGAAGAGAACGGGGCGCCACTGGTGGACCTGCCAATTCTGGTAATCTCTGGCGAATGCCAATCAAGCTGCACAGTGCTGGACTGTGAGCACAGGTCCCACTAGAGGACGTTGGGCCCTCATGCCACCCTCATGGAGTCTGTTTCTGACAGTTTGGTCAGAAGCATGCACACCAGTAGCCTGCTGGAGGTCATTTTGTAGGGCTCTGGCAGTGCTCCTCCTGTTCCTCCTTGCACAAAGGAGGGGGATTTGCCTATGGCAACAAATGTGCTAGGGCCGGTACTGACTATAAATTTAATACAGATTAAAAGTCATTTTAAATTCACATCCTTGTGTTTATTAGGTTCTTCTGCATAGGTGTCATTTAGGTATGGTGAGGTATGGCAGCTGCCATACCTTTGAATCGGGAGGAAAAAAAAGAGAGAGGTTCTGTAGTCATCTTACTCGAGGCGCACTGGCTGGTTGTTTTCATTGTATTGCACTTAAATAGGTAAATAATATGCTCATCAGTGAATATGAGTGTTAGTGAATATGACTTATTGAATCAAATTGTTCGCCACTTCGCTCCTCCGCGAGTTATAAGTTACGTGAGTTATCTGTGTGTTGTAAAAGCATTTTGCTCTGCTGCTGTAGACAGCCTGTCTAAATGATGTCTTGAAGCCTGTCTGATTGTATGTGGGGTTTTTTCTTCATGTCGGCATATTAAGCTTGAATTTTCAGTCTCTGGAGACACTCCATTAAATTCGCCTATACAGTATTGTACCAAATTGGCCTTTGTTTTACTGTGTTTCATACACTGGACCCCTTGGTTATCTTCTAGAAATGAGCTTGTAATTAATTTATTTTCTTTATTTTCTGTGAAGTTAAACACATGACTAATGATAATTAAACGTCCGCTCGCTGTCCATGGTGCTGAAATATGCGCCGAAATAGGTCTGATGTTTTCACTGCTCTCACCAAGTCGTGCATTACATGCAGACATGAGGTATTATGAATGTGAGAAACAGCTTCATGTCCTTTGAAACAGTTTTCAATAGCATAGTATGTACTTCTGACAGGTCAAAGACCAAAGTGAAGTTTTATATAAGTTCATATTTTTGAAACTCCATCATCAGTAGCTCTGTGACATCATGTCATATTGCCATACCTTAGCTTTTGCTGAAACGACGCCCCTGTTCTTCTGTAGTGTAGGGTTACACGGGGGCAGGGGCATTGAGGGTAGGCCATTTGACAATACCCGGAAAATCTCCCTCTTTTTCACAGCCTAATGTCGGCAGGTATGAAGAGTCAGAACTGTTGTTTGTTTTTGTTGTGTTGGCAATAGTGATTATTATTATCCTCTGGTGTACATAAACTACAGGTTATAGTTCTCTAAAATACAAAAATGTGAAATTATCGAATCGCATGGATAGTACTAATATCTAAAATATAAAAAAAAATTTTGGGGGGGGGCAGAGGAAGCTTGCCCCTAGGGTGCCGAATGTGCTTAGTCCGGCACTGTATAAGGTTTAAAAAATGCATATATGAATTAATTTAATGTTAATTTATATAATTTAATTTCTATGAAATTAAACTTTTGTCATTTAAGAACAGGACACAAAACGTATTTGCAGAAACAGTCCATATCTTTGGAATAAGCTTAAGGAGACTGACAGCTAAAATCAAAAGTGTGACGACCGACCCCGGCCTCCCCTATATTATTTTAAAGTTTACCTGGCAACAGCTGTAACCCCCTCATAATGTGAGGCTACCTGACATACAGACCGTGTCTTAATGAATCCACCTTTCCTGCGGTGGAGAGGATGGATGCAGCGGGTGGTGCGGACAGACGCGCAGCCTGTTGAGGACTTTCATTATTGACAGCATGTTAACGCGTCTGTCTGGGAGACGACACGGAGGAGCGACCGAGCAGAGACACAAACAGGCAGCCTCCATCATCAGTAAGCCTTCATCACATTTTACTACGCGGTGTTTGTTTGCTCTATGTTAGCCGATTTAAACGGCGTCGTTCGCGTTTCTGTCAGCGTTTTTACTCTAATTTTACGCTATCGCTGCTGTTTTATCCTACAGGCGACATAATGACTCAGGATTTGAGCCTGTTTGTCGAGGGACAGATAATTTAATAAGCAGATTAAAGATCTGCATTAGGCCTGATTGTGGACAGCTTATTGAGTGTCAGTGCATCAATAAAAATCTGACTTAATCTGCGTCTGATTCAAGGGAAAACCCGCTGCATGTAGGTTCAATAACCCTGAATAATCCTGATCAGTGATGAAACCGTGGAGGGGCTATAGATCTGCGTGGTAATTGTTTTACAGGGTGTATTGATTTGCAGTGCTGATCCATTGCAGTCCAATTATAATAGGTCTCCAGACAGATAGACTGAGATCTATATTTATACAGCTTCAGTAGTGCACATGCAGGACAAGAAAGTAGGACACCACAGAGGAAACAGCAGTACAAAACACTGCAGAACAATACTGTAAACATCAAGGACATACACCACAAAAAGGTTGGTTACTCATCTCTGGGGAGAATAATTTATTCGCTCATTAAATAGATGCATTTTCATCACTTCCTGTCTTACTTTGTTCCTGTAATGACAGGCAGTGTGCACTTTGCGTCTGTGTATGTGCTAAAGCTGCAGCAATTAATCAATTAGTTGTCAACTATTAAATTAATCACCAACTGATTTTAAAAATGATTAATCAGGTAATTTTTTAAGAACAAAAAGTCTAATTCCTCTGATTCCAGCTACTTTAATATGAACATTTTCTGTGTTCTTTACTCCTTTATGACAGTAAACTGAATATGTTTGGGTTGTTGACAAAAGAAGACATTTGAGGATGTCATCTTGGGCTTTGAATAACATATCCACATATCCTCCCTGTCATACTCAATAATCAGCCTGTAGAGAAAGTGGAACAATTTAAGCACTTGGGCACAATTATTGATCAGACATCAACTTGTAATGGAAACTCAGAGAGCATTTTCAAGAGAGCCAATCAGCGCCTGTTTTTAATCAGGAAGCTGAAGAGCTTCAGTGTTAGCCAGCACATACTTGAAATAGCATACAGAAACCTTCTTGAAAGCATGTTATCATTTAACATTACAGCATCAGATGGCAACCTGGATGCAAAGAGCAAAAACAAACTCTCCAAGATTGTCAGCATTGCAGGGAGGGTGATTGGTAAGTCACAGAAACAACTCAGCAATTTATCTGATAGTGCTGTATGCAGAGAGGCTAAACAAATATTATCACTGCCTCAGATCCATTACACTCAGAGTTTGAGCTGCTTCCACCTAAGCATCAATTTAGGGTCCCTAGAGCTAGTCGGAATATTATAAGAAGTCCTTTATTCCCATATCTATCTACTTAATTAATCTATCTTAACTTATCTTGTCTTACCTTACTTCATCTAAGGTGACTAGCTGGTTTTGATGATCGATCGGCTCCTGTGTAATATGGTTGCCTTGACCTGATTGACCGTCAGCGGATGGTGCCTTCAGATGGTAATGGAGAGCTGTAAACAAGGCTGAGTTAACATAGAAGAACTCAGCTGACTCTGTAAAGGATAGAAGTCTTTGGAGCCTGATCTTATGAGGACACTCGGTTTTTCCCACAGCTCTGTGCTGTGCTGTAAGTATTATTTGTGTTGGTGCCATACCAGAAATCAAACATTTATTTATTTTAGACCTACAACTAGTGGCTGTAGGTCTAAAATCCAGAAATCAAACATTTATTTATTTTAGACCTACAACTAGTGGCTGTTTTCATCATTAATTTATCTGCCAGTTGTTTTCTAGATGAAGTGTATATCTTCCATACAATGTAAAAATCTAAATTTCCAAGGCCAATGCATGGTCTTCGAACTGCTTCTTTCTTTCTAACCAGTATGGCTTTCAGCGGCCCCAGCTGTAAAATATGATTACAACTGATTTTCATTCTGTTCTGTATCTGTGACTCTTGATGACACAGTGCTACCTGTCTCTGGTTTTCTTTTTCCGCTCTGAAGAAGAGTCCAGCTAGAAGTGAGGGCGCCCTGAGGCAGAGCTATGGGCTGTGGGGGGAGCAGGACTGATGCTCTGGAGCCTCGGTACCTGGAGAGCTGGACCAAGGAGACTGAGTCGACATGGCTGACCGGCACGGACACTGATATCCCCCTGTCGTCCATCCAGAGCATCCCCTCTGAGAACTCTGAGGCCGGCTTCGCGTCAGAGAAAACAATCAGCCCTGGTAAGAATAATGAGTTATGGTTGAGTGGATGGATGAATGAACACCTAATTGGTCTCCCAACAGGGACAGGCAGTAATTTAACTGCTGAAAAAAATTAATAATGCATTTATGGTTGTTTGAATTAGTACTTAATTAGGTTCCTGGTGCAGATCTCATTGATAACCTTTTTTAACATGATGAGTACGTTAAATTTAACCATGGTTTTTTTTTCAGTTTGTACTATTTGCAGTGACAGTTCACCCCAAAATTAAAAATACATATTTTTCTTCTTACCTGTATTATCACTTTGGATTGTTTTGGTGTGAGTTGCTGAGTGTTGGAGATATCGGCCATAGAGATGTCTGCCTTCTCTCCAATATAATGGAACTAGATGACACTCAGCTTGTGGTGCTCAAAGTACCAAAAATATATTTGAAAAACTCAACAGCAATGTCTCTTTCCAGAAATCATGACCTGGTTACTCAAGATAATCCACAGACCTTGTTCTAAGCAGTTTCATGTAGTAACTACTTTGAAACTACACTCACCAACTCCATCACTGTGCAGAAGGAAACGTGCATCTACTGCTAACTCACCTAGCACCACTGAGATAGCTAACCTTACAGCTCATCCAAGGGGGATACCATAGATGTTTACATCTCAGACTGTCAGAAGCACGAAGCCTCTCGCCCATGAGTAGATGCACGCTTCCTTCTGCGCCGTGATTCCGGTCATATGGTTTGTGGCAACACATTCTCACTCCAACCTCATCACACATTGCCACTCGCTCATGGACTTTCCACGTCAACATATGAAATGCAAGGTAGCCTGGGTTCATCTGTTGTTGACGTTCTGGGACGCCGGACTTCAGCCTGCATGCATTATGTCTTTTCAAAATACACTGCCATTTTCACTGGAAATGTACAGTTTGCACACAGTCTCATTCAAAATGAAAGTATTATGTTGGTACAACACCGAAAATTGACCTTTTTTTTTTTCGTCTTTTTCCATTCGTTCTACCGAATAATACCAGCCAACCATATCACTGTGCAGGAGGATCTGTGCATCTGCTCATGGATGAGAGGCTTGTGCTTGTGACAGCACAAGATGTAAAAATTAATGGCGTTCTCCTGGGCTAAGTTGTAACGTTAGCTAGCTCAGTTGTGCTACATTAGCTACCAGTAGATGCACTTCCCTCTGCGTGACAGCATTGATGGGTCTAGTTTGGTAGAAAGAAAATAGTTCCTACATAGAACTGCTCACAACAAGGTCTGTGGACTATCTTGAGTAGCCAGGTCATGACTTCTGGAAAGAGACATTGCTCTTGGGTTTTTCAAATGTATTTTGTTTTTTTTGTTTTTTTTGGCTCCGTGAGCACCACAAGCCGAGTGCCATCTAGTTCCATTATAATGGAGAGAAGACATTTCTACATCTCCAACATTCTGTAACCCACACCAAAACAATCTAGATAGATAAATAGCACTGCTCGGGAGAGAAACAATATGTATTTTTGATTCCGGGGTGAACTGTCTCTTTAAAGCAATTAAATATTTGCTTTTATTCACAGCAGGCCGGGAGAGCTCAGGCTGTAATTCTGTAGGTAATTTGACTGGACTATCAATGACTGAGCCTTTCTTGACACTCCTAACATCAAAGTGACGTGTGGCACTTATGTGTTAGTCTATCTGCTTTTCTCTGTGGGGAAAAACCTGAATGTGTAAATGGTTTCCCTTTTGACGTCAAACACCTCCAGAGGTTTCGCACGGCAGATTCAAACAAGAAGATGCTGTCATGCACACAAATTGAAATGACAATGAAAAACTGCTGTGGTGACCATCATGCTGTAGCAAAGGATTATGAACCAAGGATGTGCAGCAGACTAAGCATTTGGAAACCTTTGTTCCTTTCGGGTTCAGTCAGTCACCACATACAGCTCAGACACAGATGGATTTGACTATAATTCTACTGTTCTTCCTCTTTTTCACTGAACTGTTGGTGCGTGTTTCTTTGAAGCCTGGAGGAAATTAATCTGTAAATGGACATAATAGGCTACATCAAAAGCAACCCTGCTGCTGAGATGGGTCTTGGCTCTCATGGCAACAGATACAGCTGTTAGTGAATGGAGGCAGAGGAGCCTTGATGTAATTGTGAAGACAAATTCAGTTAAGCTCCACCCTGCAGAGATAAAACAGATCTAGAATTGGCCAAATGAATCACCAGCTGGCAACCACAAAGATTCAAACAGTGGTGCTACAATAATGCAAGCTATATGTATCTGCAGCATATGGTCCTGTTTTTTACCACTGCTGTCAGAATTTTCTTGATGTTCCTCACAGGGGTTTTTGTGTTTCCATTTTTCTGTGTAGTATACAGAGTACACCCCTAGTGTTCAACGCAAGGAAATACATCTTTTTACAGATGATAGAAACACCACCACAGAAATGGCAGAAAAGTTCATTCTGAGTTTTTCTTTTGCCATCCAGTCCTATGGAATATGCATGTGGAGCAGTAAAGAGACAAAACAGGACTAATAATGCCTGGAGATAAATAAGTGGGGAGGTCAGCCTGTCAGGTGTGTAGCCAGTTTTATTTCACAGCTAGCATGCTACCAGTGTTAGCTAGCTAAACATGCTGTCAAACTTTTCCGGTAGAAAAAAATGAGCCAGTCAAGTCGGCTGCTTCTGGCTGCTTTAGCCCTTTGCTAACTTTAATGGGGATGAAATAATTAAATTGTGCGGCCATCTGTGTGTAGTTTGCATGTTCTCCTCATGTCAGCATCAGTAAACCCTGTGTCACATGACCTCAGCGCTGACCCCGTGTCAGCGTGGGTTTACTCCAGGTGCTCCCACAAGCCAAAGACATGCACGTTAAGTTAATTGGTGACTCTAAATTGGTCGTAGGTGTGAATGTGAGTGTGAATGGTTGTCTGTCTCTATGTGGCAGCCCTGTGATAGTCTGGCAACCTGTCCAAGGTGTATCCCCCCTTGACTCCCAACAGGATAAGTGGTTACAGAAAATGATTGATTTACAGTATGTAAGTCAATGGGAAAAAGTTTCTTTGGGCCGTAGGGCATCATGTGATGGTGTAATTCCACAGATTTACCACTACAAAAATTGGTTTCAAAGCCTGGCACACTTCCTGGGGCCTGATGCAAACACTGCACACTATGTTGTCATAAATATTCCATAGTGCAATCCAGTAGTGACGAGAAAGTTCATATCAGTGGACAGCGACTGAGACAGAACATCAGCTTGTTGGCATGCTGATGTTAGTATTGGGCTAATTTAGGCATTACCTAGCGACAAAGATGCCTGTGACAAAATGTTTCACAATGAGTTTGCCTGTGGTTCATATCTTCAAACAGCCAAATTAACATTACTCCTACAGACGTGATGAAAAACTCAAGAGGTTCATCATGCTTGCAGATGCCATTTGAGCTGATTTTGTCACAGGGTACCATGATTACTCATCTTCAACCAGCAAGGCGGCTGTGAAGAAGTTGCACTGTAATTAAAGCTCAGTGTGTTTGAAAAGATACTACTGTTTACAAACACAAACGTCAGTTGAACTATAATACACACATTGGGTATGTAGTGTGCAGTATTTTGGATGCAGCGAAGGTCCTGAATATTGAAGTTCACGTTCACACATCCCTGAGGAGACATACATCACTGAGCACACTTGACCCACACTTGACGTTCACAGCAGACACCTCTTCAGAGTGATTTTCAATGTTTTCCATAATTCATGACACTTCACTGCTGCACACTGTAGTCAGATTAGTTCAGTGGTGGCACTAATGCACCTGTAAGCTATCAGCAAGCTCCGACCTGTGAGTAATGCGGTTTGATTTACAAATTACCCACTTCTACGCCACACAAATCATAAACAGTGTGATAATAGTTTTATTAGCAGGGTTGGAATACATCAGTTAACCTGTAATTGAATATGCACTTCTTTGCATAACATTTCAGAACAAAAATCTGAACAATGGATAAAGTCAGTTTCAAAATTCTTGTTTCATTTTGTTGACATGTTGGAGTCAAAAGTTTTTACAGAGGGAATTTTAGTTTTTTTTTACTCCATAAATCATAACATACTCTCAACTACCATAAAAACTTGATTTTAGACATGTTTTTAGGAATAAATTGTTTTACAAATCGGGCTGTGAATGATATGTGAATATATCCCTCTGTAAAAACATTCAGAATATAGACAGGAGTAAAACTGTAAAGTTTGGTTTAGACTAAGAAAAAAATAATTTTAAGAAAATGGCCTTTCAAGATATGTATTGTGAAATTCAATTAATTTTTAGGCAAAAAATAAGACACTACAGGTGAAGACAAAAAAAATAACTCATTGACATCACCATGACCATTCCCCAGTTGATTTCTTACATTAAGACAGTTATTTTTTGTATTACAAGTTTTCTGAAATTTTATGTTTACGGAAAGCGTTTGGTGGAAACTATGAATTAGATTGTCTCCACATGGCTCTCAACATGGAGGTGGCTGAGCCAGTGGCTAGCAGCTAACGGTACTTACGGCTCAAACAGTGCTGACAGAGCTAGCAGTGCAAACCTGGGGAGGACGGAGGGTCAGCTTTATGCTTCCATGATGGCGCCATCCCGATTACAGCTGTAACTGCAGAATGAGTGCAGTGCAGAGCGGCAGTGATTAGCTAGCCTGTGGAATACACACACACACACACACACACACACACACACACACACAAGTGGCCGGACCGGCTACCACAACAAAGAACAGAGAAGCTTGGATTACAACGCATGCAGAGGCACTGAGGCTTCATTCTCTGCTCAGGACGCCATTACTCCATTATATCTTTACATAGCTAATAGCTGTTTGATGCTATATTAGTACTCTGAATGTGAAAAAAGAGCTCCTTTTAAAACCATATTAGTTCAATCACTGATGAGCCTCACACATCCATGAGTGACAGGGCCTTTATAATCTAGAATGTTCACTTGTGCTCTTACCTTGCTGATATTTTGTTGATTTCAAGTAGTGTTGTGAAGTAATCAAAATCCAACTTTCAGACAAGGCTGATGTTTTGTATCGTTCCAGCTCCAGATTTCTTCGAGGATGGCCTCCCTCTTCCCGCTCAGGCGTACCTAAAGGTCTGTTCAGCCGTGTCTGAAGCCAGTCTGAATGATGTGAAACCCAGCACTCCCCCTGCAATACTGGGCTCTCCATCCAAGGACGCGGTGTTACCATCATCTGGCACCACAGTGCAGCGCAGAAGCGTTCTACACACTGAAGAGATTGTAAGACCCTCTCCTAGTTTAAAAAATCACAGCATCTTTTCTTTTATCGAGTGAAAGTAATGAGCTGTGGGAGACCTACATGTTGGAGAGAGGTGCGACTATTGTTTTATTTTTTTATGAAAGAGCTCTAACAATAGGACAGTTGTTTAAGTCATTTATTTAAAGGTTTTTCTTCGTACATGATTGTAAACTGACTATTTTTACAATGTCACATCTTTTATTTTTCACCACTCTCAGACAAAATGGCAAGACAATCGGATGTCGACCAAGCAGGTGACCATCACAGTGACACAGAGCATCCACCAGGTGGACAAGAACGGGAAGGTGAAGAAGTCCCTCACCACCTATGAGGTCATGAAGCCTGTGGAGAGCCTCAAACAGGTGGCCACACAAAACACTTGAGTGCAGGGGAGGTGGGAAGAAGCCAAAGAAAAATGAAGATAAATTTGTGGTAAAATATTTTATGGTTTGATGGCTGATGGAAGCACAAGAAGGACGAGACACTGAACTATAAAATTTAGATTGTCATATCAAAAAAAAAAAAAAAAAGTTGAACTAGGCCGTATTGTATTTAATACTGTAACATGTACTTCTATGGTGCTTGTTCCGAGAATGTCTTACTGTACTTCGTAAACGACGCTGACATGCAAAACTGTAGGTTGGTCGGAAAATACAAACCATGACATTTTACAGTATCAAACCAAAAAACAAAAGAAACATTCACAGTATATATCAGCAGGCAGGAAACAAGCATGGCACATTTCAAATCTCTCAAGTGACCTAGAATCTAAAAAGCCTTCTCACCCCTATTTTAAGATGAGGATAAATATATGTGTAGAGCTACAGTATTATTTAACATTATCGAATATTCTCAAGCTACATATAGTTTTGTTATCTGACATTGAAACAACATGTAGTTGCTGCTGTGCTACAATCAGTAAGGCTCAGGAAACTGACAATGATTGTGATGATTGAACTACTTAGAGTGAAGCCCAGGGCAGGTTTGTGATGACAATGGAAGACGTTGTCTGTCTACGTTTTGTGTCGTTTTGTAAGATACCGTGTTACATTTTCTTATTGAGTCGTTCGTGTTTTCTAATGACAATAAATTAAACAAAAACATTTATGGTCCTTCTTTTACATGACGTCATAAGCTGCATTATCTTTCCATCTTCAGGTTCTGTTTTACTCACAAAAAAAAAAACATGGGACAGTAAACATATTAGCACTTTGAAGAACTGTGGTAACAAACAAAAACATGCACATTATATATATAGCAGGGAGGATTACACCATCTTCTTTGGCAGCTTGCATTTTTGTAAGAGCATGCGATTTTTTTAAGCAGTAACTATAATAGCAGTTCGGGGGTCAGCTTTGCGTTGAAAGTGTGTGGATCTGTTTTTTATGGTCGTAATGTATTTGTCCTGATCTGAACGATGGCTCCTCCTTCTCCATCCACTCCTCTGCGCAGAAGTCTGGGAAGAAGAAACGGATTTCTCTTTGTGCTGACTCAACAGAATCTGGGGAGAACAGAGATTACAAAGATGATTATTTAAAAACCTGATAATCAGTATGTGATATGACTAATAGGTCCCACTGCAGAGCTCCAGGCTCAGGCCCACTTCCATTGCAGGACCCATGGTGGAAAATCATGTGTGTTATTGCCTGTTTTAAGATGAAAAGTCATGAGTGTTTATGGCACTTCCTTAAATTATGTTTACATGACACTGTATTAGATTGCGTAGTGTACTGTTTTGCCTATTGGATATATATTTAACACACTGTATCACATCCATACCACTGTGCAAGTAACATGTGTCACAAGATAATGTATGTTACAAGCTGACTGATCACATTTGGTTTTGTTTAGTTCCGTATGTATTGTTTGTCATGCTTATCGTTAATAAGTGTATTAAATGTTTAGATGCCACTGTTTTTTATAGGTTTAGCAGACGATCATCAGGATACGATTCATTAGTTTGCCGTACGCCCTCCATCAATAACACCAAAATATACAGTGCGACCTTAAAGTTGGGTGACGAAACATTAAGCAGCAAATAACTTGTACTAATCTTATGAGTCTGATAACGTAAGATAGCAATGCTAACTCAGCTACGCTGACGTTTGTTTGCTAACAAAATAAGCATACCTAGCTAATGTTGGCAACCTCGTGATGTTAGTTACAGAAAGTTACTTGCTGCTTACCGTTACGTTACCTAACTTTATAAATTATGCTGTGTTAACACTACAACCAACAACAAAACAGCATGACCAGCTACATTATTGCTGTGTCGCCATTAGAGTGTTGCTCAAGCGCTTGTGGACATAGTTACGTCATCACAGGGTTGTGTTTGTCTGCTACTTAGGAGCACAATATGTAGAAGCACGGGAGATTTAAAATTTGAGTCTGTTCCTTGTTTTTAGTGTGGATTTTTTTTGCTATTTGTTTCAACTTTTTGCTGCTGTCTTGGCCAGGACTCCCCTGATAAAGATATTTTGAATCTCCATGGGACTGTTCATGGTTAATAAAGGTTAAATAAAATAAAATAATGAGCTAAGCTACAAACAAAAACATATGATTTGCTGATGCTTCACCACGTCATTGGAGCACTGAAATACAAGGTGTCAGTTTGTAGCTTCATGTCACAGGCTGTCTGTTGTCTGTTGGTGTTACTGGTGGAGGCTGTGGGGCTTATTCAAACTAATGAACACATGCTTTCCTATCCTGGTGAACGTCTCTGGCAGGCACAATTTCAGACTTCCTTCTCCAAGTTTGGGACTGGAGAGGGTCCGACAGAGGAGCCTGGAGCTGTGGAGCTAGACCCCTCTGGATTTGGCAGCCCATGTGACACTCAACACACATCCTACCTGAGCCATGAGTTGTGTTTCGTGTGTCTGTGAGTCCAAACTGGCCCCTGATAGAAGCAGGTGAGGTGTATCTGGCTCTGAACACTTTGGTTGGTCCCATTAGCTCTCTCCAGTGATGTATGGCGTCCTCTCTGGCTAAAATGTACGCTCGCATGGGACCACTGTGGAGAAACAATTTAACAGTAGTGTGAGTGGTCATGGATCATGCTCAAATATTGAGACTTGTCAGCTTACAGTTAATGCAAAGCCAGACACCGCTGTGTGTGGCTGTTACAGACATTTCATTTTAAACACTGGATGGTTTCTGTGCTTCAGTGATGAGCCAAAGACGGACTCTTCATAAATCACACCAATGTATTCACTCCGGAACCTCCTGGGAGGAGAGCTCGGCCATGAATACATATCAGTTCATCAGTTATAGCAAAACAATGCAGACTGGAGCCGCTTCGAACTTGACTGGCTGACATGCCGAGGATGCTTCCTATGTCTCCAATAACACTGACAGCATCCAGAGGAAGGTTGCTGTAGCAACCACTGATTCACTGCTGTGAGGAGACAAAAATGACAATGTGATGACAAGCACCTTTTGCAGTCCAGAGGGTGCCGTGTGGAGCTATTGTGAGCAGGCTACATGGTGATTTTCAGACAATTGCTCCAGGGCTGTTGTCCTGGCTGATAATTGAAACTCCTGTTGTGAAGTTTCAGAAAATGATGCACCGGCGACTTGCTGAGCAGGAAATTGCAGCACCGTCAACTGACGTGTGCTTTTTCTCTGTCAGCCCCAGTGGGTTATACATCACACAGACAACAACGTTTATCAAAGTAACTCAGTCAAAGCTGTCATGGTTTGGGAAATGTGCATGTGTAATGTCAATGTGGAGGCTTACCTTGACATGAACTCAACAAGTCTTTGGTAGAAGAATCGCCCTGAGAAGCAAACAGAAGGAAGTCAAACAGAGCTTTCACTATTTTCATTATCCATTATCCATTACTCTCACTGCCCAATAAGCTGTCAATTATTTTCTCAATTGATCAATTAGTTGTTTGCTATATTAGAAGACAGAAAATGGTGAAAAATGTCGATCAGTGTTCCCAAAAGCCTAAGATGACATCCTCAAATATTTTATATTGTCTGCAACCCAAAGATATTCAGTTTGCTGACATGGACGAGCAAAGAAACTGTAAAATATTCATATTTAAGAAGCCAGAATAAGAGAATTTTTAACTGATTAATCCATCATCAGATTAGTTGCTGATTAATTTAACAGTTGACAACTCATGGATTTATTCCTGCAGCTCGACAGCCTGAGTTGTGTCCACACACCTGAATGTTCAGCGTAAAACCTCTCAGAGTCCTGTTTCCTCCACACAAGATCTTTGCACCTGACAATCACAAAGCTGTTGTCCAGGATTCTCTGGTGAAGAGCCTGAAGGAAAATATAAATTAGTTTTCCCATAATGTGCCATAATGTAGCTGATGATAATCGATTTACTGTGTCGAGAAGGAAAAGGGTTGTCAGAAGGAAAACAATATTCGGATACAAAAGTTCATTCTCCTCTTTAATATTAAAATAACAGTAATCTGGTCGACTATCTGGGCTTTAAAATGGCTCCTTTGACTAATGGAATATTTTATGATTGACACAGCTTTCATGACTTTGAGGCTTTGGGGCTTGTGAATCTATTAAGACCACAAATTATTCTTTACTCTGTGGAATAAAGGTGAGAGCAGAGCTGGCTTAGGACATGTAAATGAACATGCCGCTCCTTGGAATAATTTTATTATAGAATGAGACAAAATAATAAATGAACAGATGGATGAAGGCACTTGGTTTAACCATAACAAGTTTAATTTATTCTAGATCTACATCTTATAGAGTAATTAAATAGGATGATTAGAACCTCAGCTTGTTATTATTCATGCTTTATTTATGTTTGTGAAGTCAAATTGTGGAATTCTGTGGGAAATGACTTCATGAATTCATGAATTGTGTGTCTCTACAGGTATCGGACATTTAAATTTAATGCCTTTTAAGACCTTTTCAATGTCATTTTTAACCACATTTAAAGGGGCAATAAGCAAAATCGTTTCACCGCTAGGTTCGCTGTTGTGCACTGCCTGTACAGCAAAACAAAGTGTGTCATGAGCCACTCCTCCCTCTACCTCTGCTCCCCCCCCCCCCAGCTCGCCTCGTCTGTGCCGGCGAGACGAGTACCGCAGCACGGACTATCACATCCAGACGGTCCCGGTGTTTCTTCCGCAGGCTCCGCTTCACTCAGCTGCCCGATACACCCGCTGCTTCTTCCCACATTAACCTGAATAACAAACCAGGGCTCGGTGCTCCGGTTGGATCCAAACGGAGAGCCGCTAGCTGGGAAGCTAGCGGAGGCTAACTGGCTGTGTTTCCCTCCGGTCATGCTGCGGCTAACGCTCCGCTAGCCGCTCCCAGCTAGCTCCTGTTTGTTATTTAGGTTAAAGTGGGAAGAAGCAGCGGGTCTGTCAGGCAGCTGAGTGAAGTGGAGCCTGAGGAGGAAGCACCGGTTAGCCCCCGCTTTCACTGCAGGCAGATTCACTCGCCACAGGGGCGAGGAAATAAAACCTAAACAGCCAGCTTAGTTTAGCAGTTAGCAATGTCTTTCACTCACTCTCGGTCTCTGCTGTGTTTAGCTATTTCCCTGCTTTCCTGTTAGC